GGTGGACCGGAGGCGGCGTTGTGCACCGGGGGGGGGGGGGGGGGGGGGGGGGGGGGACGGGTGGGCCGGGGGGGCCTGGGCTGGATTCATTTGAATCATAAATTCAAATGAACGTGGAAAAAAAATCAGATCAATACACAATATCAATAAGTCAATAAGTTGACTTTTTACGGCAGCATTTTTAATATTAATGCCACAATAAGTTGTTTAAAAGGTAAAAATATATGTTTATTTACTTACTTTACTTATCATCAACTTATTATCATTTATTAAATTCAAATCAATAAGACTAACTTCATTCTTACAAGTACTTTTCATGAGTTTTACATATTTATTACCAATGTTTAGTATAAAAATAATTGACCAGCCTTTGGTTTAGTGCGACTTCAACAGTTAATTTATATTAAAATATGTTTGTTTTCATTTAAAATATATCAAATGTCAGTGAAGATAAATCTCAACTATCCAAACAGACAAGGCACACACTGTGGTTAAATTAAGTCAAAAAAAAGAAAATATTCTTTTAACCGACCCACTGCCCCATCCGTCCACCCACCTGACCTGTGACCTTTGACTAAGGTCAAGTCTTTGTGTCAGTGTGCTCCTTCCTCTGGTCAGGTGTTAATGACAGTCAGCTCCTCCAACAACACAGCGTTAACACTAGTGATAATTAGACGTGGCTCAGAGACGGCTCTTCTGTCTCTCCATCATCTGTCAAGTATGTTACACTACAACAACACCTGCAGTACACGAAACCTAAGGAATGATTTGTTTCAAATATGAATTCAAGTAAAACCTTCATCCTTTAGTAAATCAAGTCTGAGGGTTTGGATCTCATGACAAAGCTAAGTATGAATTTTTAAAGGTATACCATGTACGACGTTATGAAATATATTTGAAAAGGTCATGTGATTCTTTTATTCCATGGTCACTTCCACCCCACAGTTTAGAGAATCTGGCCAATCCATCAGTAGAGGTCAGTGGGTAATAAGTCTATTATCCAAATGCTGTGTCTTGGTCAGAGTGTGTGTGGATCAATAGAGCATCATAAGGCCAGGGTTGAAAGGTCAGGCTCATAAACCAACCACGGGGAGCAGGCCTACAGAGGACAGCGGCCCCTTCATTTATTACAGAAATAATGAGAGAAAAGTGTGGACGTGGTGAACAGAGAGGTGAGACATTTTTAATCTGAGTCTGACCCAGAAGGACAGTCACAGGTCACAGCGAGATAGCAGCCAATATTTAAGTTCAGAAAATACACATCTATACCATGTATTTAGATCAGCTGCAGCGCCCCCTTTTCTAGAGCTACATTTCACAGTCACTGTGTCGCTGATACAGGACTGATATTTTCATTAAATAAAATAAATATTAAAAAGTGTGCAATGTTTTCACGAATAAAAAAATATTAACATGTCGATAGCCCTGTCCCCACTTTGCAAACCACGGATTTACATGAACTATGGTTATTGGTTACTGGTTATTATTTAAGTTATGAGTGGTTCCAATGGCACACAGTTGACTGTAGTGAGTTAATGACCAACAGTCATTATCTTCAGGACAACATCGAATTATTCCACAGGTCAAAGGTGAGCTGGTTGTTTGTCCTTAATGTTCTTTCAGTTAAAATATTTTTTTATCATATAATGGAAGCGTATGACCTTTGTGTGTGTGTGTGTGTGTGTGTGTGTGTGTACTGACTGCACACTGACAATTTGAATCTTTTTTTTGCATCTGTTTCCTCCACCAGTCTTCATTATTCAGCATCATGTCAGTGTTAATGTGGAACCCCAGGTCTAGTCTTAACTCCAGAGGCTTCAGAGACAGATTCTCTGTTGACACCAGCTGACAGTCAGCTGTCTCTCCTCTCTTTCTGTCTTCTCTCCTTTCTCCTGTTGTGTGATCTAAAGGTGGACGCCGTCATTGCCGGCTGACTTACGGTCTTGTGGGACCTCGATGGTTGTTGCCTCGTGCCACAATAGCAGCAGTAATGACACCAGAGTCAGGGCCACGCGCCTGCCCTGCCCCAACATGGCTCCTCCACTGGCTCAGCTCTCCTGATTGGATAGACGGTTCTTCTGACGACCGTACCGTGAGTCTCCTGTGAGTAAAGACACGGAGACAGATGGTGAGGTGAGGAGGAAGACGCTGTAGTGGGTTGGCCACAACATGGAAGACGTAAACACTTTGTGTGTGTGTTGGGGGGTTGTTCTGGCAGCAGAGGGAAGGTGTTGACTCTGGCCTACATTCACAGCTGAGTCCCAGTCTGGTCCTTTGGAGAATCCAAGCTGTGGCTCCGATAATTAAACAATGATCATTCCTTCAAATGACAACAGTTCACAATTGTACTGAAATTACAGTGTTGATAAACAGGGATTTTAATCAACTAAAATATTCTCAGTTCAGATGTCCCTGCCAAAGAGCTCTTGAGCACGTGGACAGGAGGAGTGAGCTAACAAGACACAATCAACCCAAACATGAACTCCAGCTCCTGCAGAGATTTTTGTTTAGTTTAACAGATGTGGACAATAGTTGACAATCACTCAACAGCTTTGGAGCCTGAGGGTAGTTGTAAGATTTCACCCAACCTGGACACACACACACACACACACACACACACACACAACCTGTGCATAAGCCATCTGGTGGTATGTCAATCCTACAGTTTTTAACAAAACAGATAATTTTCCCCTTGGGTTTCAAAAAAACCCTAATGGGCCGTCGGCATAATGCACACTTGAGTGCACACACACACACACACACACACAAAGGCAGGTGGAACAACACATGGACAGAAACACACCCCATCTTAGCCTGGCAAAAACACACACACACCACCACTCTGCAGCTGGTGGGAAACCCGACCCACATCACCCTATCTCTGTTAATTACAAAGCAGCCACATGACGCACGCACACACACACACACACGCAGGTAAACACCTACTGCTGGTTGTTGTTGTTGTTGTTGTTGTTGATGCATTTCACTGCTGTAACCGACTACAAACACATCTAATCTCCCACACTCAGCGAGAACCTGGGAAAATGTCCTCACAAAAGTATTTTTCTGAAAGGATCCCCACAAGTGAAGGTCCATCAGTATACAACACACACACACACGCCTTCAAAGGGACGTATATCAGAGTCCTGTATGGAGTCCTGATTCCTCTAGGAGATAGGAAATGTGAAGAAAACTGGAGTAAGATGAGGAGATAAGTGAGAGAGCGGCGAAGGCTCTGAAATAGGTCAGCGCTCGTCTCCACATGTGCAGCTCCCTCCACAAACAGTGGTGCATCATCCACAAAGTGACACACACACACACACACACACACAGAAACACGGTCAGTGAACTTCTCATGAAATACCACGATGTACTTTATCTGTCATGCCAGTGTGAAGCTGCCTCCCCTCTGCTGCGTCCCACTTCCTGTTGTAACGACCTGCTCACCAGTCTGTGGAGAATAAATTCATCTGGAAGGAATTTTCCTGCAGGAGTTTTTATGTTCACTGTGATTACATCACCGTTATTACCATAAAATAGAGCAGTCACACTGCAGATCATTTTTTAATTATCTTACTATGTTTATTTATTCAATTTTTAGAACAAATGTCTACATGGGCGACCTGTGGCTTAGTGGTTAAAGGATGGGGCAAAAGAACAGCAGGTTTAATAGCCGCCTTGTTAGTTGTGCTGGGCCCACTGTGACCTGGGAGGTGTGGGAGGTGTGGGGGTATGTACATGGGTCTGTATATGTCGATGACGAATTAGGGCAACTCTTGTTTTTCTACATTTCTACAGTTAAACATTGAAAGAATTACATGAGTCATTCATATAATTTTTATTACTGGGATATTAAAGAGCAGCTGCAGAAGAATCTCTGTTGAAGGTTCTTTTTTCTTTTGCTCTTACAACTGAAGCCAATCCTCTCATCCCTGGTGAGTACTTCTTTGAGATTATTATGGTAATGTTTTTGGAATTCCTGCGCACATGAGCTCCAACTCTAACTGTAAATAAATGTGTGTCTGCTCAAATAATAATAACAACCATAATAATAATTATGAAGCCTCTGTTCAGCAAATATACTTCAAGGTAGAAGTAGATGCAGTAAGTAGGTCAGTGGAAAGCTACTGTAGGTAAACTGGTAGATGGGTTTTCAGAATTCCCGACGCTGGAATATTCCAAAGCCCTGGATGCATCCAAGAACAGACGGATAATCCAACAGGAAAAAACCAAGAGTTTGCTCTTTTAATAGTCCGTCTGGCTGCTCAGGGTTTTACACCGAGGTAATACTGCAGTGACAAGAAATGTTTTTCTGCCCCGGAGAAGTAAATAAAACAGTCCCAGCTTTAGTTTATCTATAAAGAGTCAAAGAGGTATCAAATCAAATCACCCTCCTGCTCTTGGACTCACCTAGTCTGACGTGGACACCTGGTCTTTCCACTCACAGACGTCCACCACTCTGCTCTGCTGACCTGGTGACACACAAGGAGGAAAGAAAACCCAAAGTGAAGTCAGGAATATGACAAGTTTGAATTGAACAGACTTAGTTTAGGAATTTATTATAAAATGTTGGATTCTTTCTTCATCAGATCTGAGAAAAGACACAGCACGAGTGTAACAGAGAAATAAATCACAGAATATGAGTCATATGAAACATTTCTGTTTCATCACAGAATATGAGTCATATGAAACATATGAAACATTTCTGTTTACGCACGTTCCAGGTTTAGGATCATCATCCCAGACCTGTACTGTTCACCAGTACCGTTGTATTTGTCTTATTTTTATTAAGGTCTTCATTTCCTTTGACACCGTAACTCAACTATTTTCTAATGTCTCTCTATCATTCTATCTCTCCTTCTCTCCAACTACACACACACACACTTAAAGGTCACAGGTCAGAGGATAAAGAGGTTTGGGTGGGGGTTTTTCTTTGACAATGACATCATTTCCTTGGTGTAAATTATCTTAAAAAGAGGTTGCCGTGACAACCATGTCAGGAGCTGATGGCATAATTGGGGGCCATGTGAGAAGTGTTTGGTTCCTGATGCTGTTCAGAGACATAACGGGACCATTTGTTGTGACTGTCCGTACCTGTTACTGCCTGTTAAATAGTTAATACTAACAGCAGTAACAAAGCAGTGGCTCCAGTCCATTATGTTGACGTGTGTTTTTAAAAGATAAAGATAAATATGTTTCTCTTTTCCCAGGAGGATGAAACACCACGGTGGACATCACGTCTGAAACCACATTATCTCTGTAGCTCTAATTCACTTTCAGCTCTAATGACACGTTTATGTGCTAACAGTGATCTGTGTAATGACGAGGGCAAATTAAATCAGGAACAAAGACACACATGTGCTCCAACACTGATGCATTTTAAAAAGTCAAAGTATATCTCTGTGGATGATGCAACCACTTCAGATCAATACACCCAGCCGCCTGCAGGGCAAAAAGAAAAAAAAATCAAATGAATAAATAAATAAAACCCTGAATAAACAGAATTAATAAAGATGTGTTCTGCTTTTTGTGTAAATATTAAATGGAATTCTTCTAAATGAAAACAAATAAATCCTGTGTAAAAAAAATTACAAAAGCCATTTCCTTTTATTTGACTTTATAGTGTAAAAACAAATAAATCCTGTGTAAAAAAAAATTACAAAAGCCATTTTATTTGACTTTATAGTGTTTTTTTTTTTTTGAGGAATCATTTTTCCTAAAAACAGAGAAATTATCTCTTTGTCTACCTGCAGATCATTCTGCAGGACTTTGTCAGGTGTCTGTGTTAAACTCATATCATTAAAGCACTTTCTTCACACAGATACTGTCTTGGTGGTGTAGGACTGACACCTCTGAACAGAGACCGGGGTAATTAACCCTCGGCATCTTCACAGGGGGAGAAAAGGGACAAAACAAAGAGGTGTCAAATATCACACAACCTCCAGGGGCAGGTAGGACACAAGGAACAAGGATGGAGGGTGAGGAGGCTGCAGGGTGGGTGCACTGTTGCCAGGCGATGCATGTGGATGTGTGGATGTCAGTCACTGTGGGCTCTGCAGCTCCATGCAGCAGACTGACCTACTTTTAATCAGAAGAAAGAGAAGGAGCAAAAGGAGAGAGAGAGAGGGGAGAGGAGGTCAGGGAGCGCAGCCAATCACAGACCAGATGAAGAGGTTTTGTTTGTAGTAAGACTGAAAAATAGAAGAGAAGACGACGATGGAGAAAAGCGGTGTCCCTGAAGGTTAGGGCTAAGAAAGATGGAGCCTTGGTTTGTGTTCTTGTGTGTTTCCAACCCTGAGGGGAAATGCCCTCCAACCCACTCCCAGATTAATCAATCCCACAGTTTCTGGAGTGATGTGAGTTGAAGCACTTCCTGTGTCCACACTGTCTCTTCTTAATAAATGATGACTGCCACCTGCAGCAGGGACACACACACACACACACACACACACACACGAGTACACAGCTTTGTGTGTGTGTAGTGTATGTTCTATAAATGATGCACTATATTTCAGTCCTGGTTGTTGTTACTCGACCTCTGCTGTTATAAATATGGAATCCTGTCTCACACACACTTTTGCCACAGTTCTGTTTTGTCATTGGTGATCACCACCATAGCGGCTGGTGAATTTGAACCTGCAACCTTTCAGAGCCAAGTCCCCTTCCTTAACCACCAAGCCTCAACCAATGAGAGAACCAACGTGCTCCACTCCAGTCCTGTAGTGTCTGTGATATAAAATGATTCATGTCTTTTCTGCCCTCGTTAACAGGTCAACCACAGGGGAGCGCTGCTCTTCTGTGTCTTAAAATATTCAAGACCTCCGTCTGACACCAAAATCACAATAAAGACGTCCCTTTACACCTTGACATGACATCATGAATTCATGACATACAAAGAGACCATTTAGTAATCCCTGCAGGCTCAACGCTCTTAACAGGCAGAAGCCACGCCCACCCACGGGGAGCTGGCAGCGACAGAACAGTGTTCACATCCCTGAATGGTTTTTAGGAGTCACAAACCAGTCGCAGTTAAATCAGCAGTTAACAGTGAGTACTGTCTGTGTGTGTGTGTGTGTGTATTGTTACAACATTTTGTTGAAATAAATTTCCACCACTTTTATCAGGACCCAGTGTGATGATGTCATCAGTGAGCAGGTAGGACAGCAGACAGACTGGGTTTTAAATAACTGTTGTGTGGGCTGAGCCACAGGAATCTGACAAAAACACTACGGTTCCACTTCACTGGACCGGCTTCACTGAGGCTGAGTCTGGGTGAAAGACATACAAATATATATAATTCGATTACAGAATAGATTTCATAGTTCCAACCTATCAATCCATCCAATGTTTCATTATAATTTTGCAGCTACTACTTCATAAACAGGTCATAAACAGTGAAGTATAAAGTCACCTCTGCAGAGTAACTGATCTGCAAAAAAGAAAACAAATCACAAGGAAACAAGTTGAAAATAAAAATGTCAATATTTTAAAATGTTGATTTATAGCATTGTACCACTGTTGTAGTATACTGTACTGTACTGTACTGTACTGTACTGTGTTGTCAGGACAATAATGACTGGAGATTATTTTAATAATTTAATAGTCTGTCTGAGTCTTGCACGTGTGTGTGTCTGTGTGTGTGTCAGGGTAAATGTGCCTTTGTTCCAGTCAAAATAAATGAAAGGGTTCAGTCCCCCCCCCCACCATCTTAATCTCACACCCTCACACCTCCCACTTTCTTCCAAATTGCCTCCATCTTTCTCCCTCCTCCTTTGTTGTCTTCACCACCACTACCTCATCACAGTCACCTGTTTGTACTCTTGCACGTGTGTGTGTCTGTGTGTTCCTTTAACTCTTTTAACTCCTTTAACTATTTTAACTCCTTTAACTCCTCTCCTCCTCACTCCATCAACCTTAGTCAGTTTCTCCAGCCCAAGTTGGTATCATAAATGCCCCTCCCCCTTCGTTCAGACACTTGTGACCTGTTTTCTCTCCTCACTTTGTTTCTGTCCATCCATCCATCATGCTCCCCCTCTGTCCTCTCTCCCTTCATGCCTGTGGTGCATGCTGGGCAGCCTGCCACCTCATTAGTACATCTGGATCCCACTTTGTGCTCCTCTTTCATTCATTTTACCCCCTACCCTCGACACCCCCCCCCCCTCACCCCCCCAGTGCCTTCCCTTCTATCTTTTCTCCACCTCAACTGGTGTTCGACCAATAAGAAAACTCCATGGTCACCAGGGCTCCTTAGCAACAGCCTCACAAGGGGAAGTGGGGTGAAAGTGGGGGGAGGACAGAGATGAAGGAGGAAAGAAGGGAGACAGATTTGACTGGGAGGAGGTGAATTTGGAAACAACCTCAGTGTGAGGCTGGAGGTGTGTGAGGTGTTATCAAAGCCTCGCATCTGAGGTGTGTGTGCATGTGTGTCCACGTCGCTGTGTGAAAAAACCCCCAAATACCGTCTTATCAAACAGCCAGTGTCTGCTCTTCATAATAACCTTTGATATCCCAGGACTGGAGTGGATATAAAGACGATGCTGTTACACTGTAACCTCCCAAGTGACTCATGGGAAAATAATTAACTGAGTAAACATTCTGTCATTCTGTCGCCAACCCCTTCAGGATGGTTCTGCTGAGAGTCCATTTAAAAACAAGTTAATGAACCACCGTAGTCCAGGAGCTGCAGGTGAACCTGAGAAGAGACGATCAAACTGTTGTTTACACTCATGGTGTTCAGTTTACCAACTACATCTACTGAAGTATATTAGAAAGTTGACATGGGAATTTGACTGGAAGGTTGGATGACTTGACTTGTTGATGGATGGTTGGATGGACTCCATAAACACATCTTTACAGCAGAACTACAGTACGGAGCTCCTGAGGTTTAACGTATCAACAGCCACTCATGCCTGGCTGGTCCTGACACACACACACACACACACACACACACACACACTGTACTGTACATACATATATTCATGTGCTGTACATGAGTGTTTTCTCAGTGGACAAGCAGGTCATGTGCAGGTCATTCATTAATATGTCATCACCAGGATTCACATCTTACTGCAGTACTTTCACCGACATTTACTAAAAAACACTAAGATGTGTTTGTGTTGTGGTCAGTTCTTCTCTACTACGCTTTATAATTGTTTTTAATATAAATGGAACTGCTCTATAAAACTGCCCTATGAAGCCAATCTGTGAAACACAGAGGTTGAAGAACCCCTGAACCTGCATGTTGTTCTAGATGATGAAGGACGGCAATGACTAACAAAGAGGTTTATATTTGTCCTCATACATGCACATGTGCAAACGTAATGTTGTTATATTGACATGTGCGTCAGTGATGAGAAAACATTAGATGAAAAGAGAGCGAGAGCAAGAGGGGAGAGAGAGAGAGAGAGAGAGGTCAGAGAAAATGACATTTGGTAATGGTATAATTATAGCAGAAAAAAAAAGGTAAATTAAA